CATAAGTGAGAAGCGAAAGTAATCATATTTGCTGCATTATCAGTTGTTGCAGCAATTATTTTTTCTCCAATTTCGTAGAAACTAATAATTTCTAAGATAGCATTTGAAATATTTAATCCCGTATGATCATCTTTAACAGGGGTGCATTCCAATTATCATTAATCCAATAGAGTGTTATGGACATATAATTACTATTATTGCAAGCCGTCCATGAATCGGTTATAATGGCTAATTTTCTTATTGTTTTTAAAAAATTTTTTAATAACAATTTTTGATTTTGATAAATTGCCTCGATCTGATTAGATATAGTTTGTCGAGATGGTAATCGATACCATTCGTCAAGTTCTTCAATAAGTTCGACGAAACTAAGATCTTTGACGACTATAAAGGGCTATTGATTACAAATAATCCACTTTATAAGTAGATAAGTAATACGTTTAATTTTTGCTTCATTATCTATTCTATAAGGTTGAACTGTTTTGTTTTTTTTAAGTTCTAACTCTATTTGATTATAAATATCTACATGATATTTTCTAAAATGTGTTTTAATTGTGCTAATTCCTGTTGATTTTTGCCATTTTACTTGTGGACGTTGTCCTAGACATGGTATACAGCAAACGAAAATCTTGCTATCACTTGGTTTAAGATGTTTGCATAAGAGATAAGGTTTTTTTCATTTTTTATTTAATGAATTATCAAATAATGATTCTATAGCTAAAGGATCTACATTTAATTCTTTTTGCAAAAAATCTTGTATTTTGTTATATAAAGGATCTTGTTCTTCGATAATATCAGTATTGTTGTTAGTATCGTTATTAGTATAATCCATGATGCAAAAATTTAACATTCGAAGATAAAAAACATCTCCTTAAATAAAAAATAATTTATTATTTTTTTAATTGTATTTATTTTTACATTTTTTTAATCGCTTTTGTCTTGTTAGTTTATCGCTAGTGATAGGACTTAAAAATTCAAATTTCACGCCTATGATTCATTGAAAAAAATTATTCTTTATAAGCGACAATTAATAATCACCTATTTTTTGTTAGTCCCATCACTACCTATCACTATGTCTAATTAATAATCATGTGAGGTCGTTGAACAATAACTAAATTTCCATAATAAGAAATAATAAACCTTTGAACAAAAACTGTTTACCAAATTAAGAACAGTAAACTGTTTGAACAAAAACCGTTTGCCAAATTAAGAACAATAAACTTTAAATGAAAACTAATTATCAATTCAAACCCAATAAATTAGTTTAGAAACATCAAACAAAAGCTATTTGCCCAAATTAAGAGCTATAAACTAGTTTGGAAGCTTATATCTTTTCTAATTTAAGTTTGAACTGAAGTTTTAAACAAAAATTAAACTGCAAACTTATAATACTCAATAAGCAGTTTTGAACTTAAGCTTTTTAAAACCATTTAACATCCCTAATAATTATATTATTTTTTTGCTATAGTATATAAATTTTTATTTTTATATAGTAATAAATTTAAATACTATTTGCTATAAAAAATTATTTCTTTTTTATATAGTATTTTTATATTTAGATTTGGTTAATTAGGTTCAAGTTTAATAATCTAAACTTGAACTTCAAATCTTACAGATTTTGAACTTGAATCTAAACTATAATACCTCTTTTTAAGTGCATGTTTTCTAAATGCAAATCATATTAATTTTTTTTTAAATACAGGTTTTTTTTTAGTTCCAAGCTATATAAAGTGGTGTTTCGATCCTAATTTTCAAGATCCATTCGGATTAAATTCAGATCCTTTTTGATGTATCCAAATAACAATCTGAATTTTAGTAAATCTGATTTCAATTATTAAATCCAGTTTTTATCTATAGTTACATGTTTTATCAATACTAATATACTGAATACTTATTACTCATATTTAGTAAATTAATATAGTATTAATATCAAATATTACTTTTTATAATGCAAACAAATGCAATTAAATTTTATTAATTGAAAAGCAATATATTGCTAAATTATATAACAAATACAATATAGCATAATTATCAACCCCAAACAAATCATTTATTTCTTTTTGCAAAAAAAAACTATTAAGCCACTACTCTAAGAAGAAATTCTAAATACTCTAGATTTTCTTGCTTTAGATTTGAGAGTATTTTGCTATGAATCAAAAAGGTACCGAACTTCTGATTCATTTATAATCATTTCAGACAATTATATAATAGACTACTGTTATTAAAATTATTTTATATTTATTTACTTTATTTATTTATTTATTTATTTTTTAACAGTTTTGTCTTTATTTATATAAATAAATAATTTTTTTTTTTAATGTTAATAGATGAGACCTTACTTATATCTTTATTAAGTAATTTATATAAGTAATCATAAAGAAACAAAACTAAATGAAGACTTAATTTATATATAAA